CATAATGCCACTTGGCCGCTAGTTACGGCGAGCGCAAGCCATGGCTGCCCGCGAGAATGGAAGTCGATGTTCTGGAGCAGCGCGTGCTCTGGCTAGTTGTTTATTATTGCAGCAGCCACCTTGCCAGTTTTCGGTGCGTCTCCCCGCCGGCTCAGTTCTTCCTAGTTGAAGACCTTTTGTAGCACGTGACAATATCAAATCACCTTTGTGGCTGGTTATAAAACAACAGGACGACAATAATAACGATTCAGCACCAATCTCCCACACGGTAAATTTGACTTGTCGGCCAGCAGCCGACTTTCTTAGTGCACATATACTCCGCCTTTCAGGACCGACAGACAAACAGAAGGGTGGACTGACATGAACAGTAAATCTGTAGCATTCTATAATATTAAAGCGAAATCTTTTTTTGCTATTGTTGAGCGATTTTCGGTGTCATTGAAGGGAAGAACCCCATGCCAAGTCGCACAAAATTTAGTTCTGTTGCAACTGTGCAAGACTATAAGAGTCTACAGGGAACGTGTTGGCCGGCTCGTCTGTCTACCTCTCCGAAAGCCCTTCCTCAGCGACCGAAGTGAAAGTGCAGGAACGCGAGCGTCTGTTGGTGGTTTACGGGCCCGGTGTTTCTCGCGACAAATGCGGTGATGGCTTTGGAAACCGATGAAACGCTGATAGCGAATGCATGCAGGACAACATGTTCGACTAGTCATATCATTCGGTTGGTGAACCACGCTTCGACTACGAGGATAAACAAACATACTCAAATTTATCAGCTTTCGCTTTCATAACCCGGCGTAGCTGAACGAAGCCCGATTCATTTTTCGCTGTGTAAGTTGTCGTGTTTACTTTGCTCAAGCTACCTTTCATCACATGAAAAAGTCAATAATTTCACGAAATATGCAGCGGTACACTCAATCCACTCGCAATACAACGGGTACTCATCTAAAAAACACGGGGAGAAGTAGTCCGCTCCAAGCAATCTTGTTTCACTTGTGTTATCCAGCGTTTTCGTCACCTAGAGCGAGTCGGGAGGTGCGACAGTCTCCAGTTGGCTTTGCATTGCGGCATGCAGGGCCCTGGCATTTACACCTCAAAGTTCTTGTAGGTGCGCTTAGCGTGAGGATGGTGTCGTAGCGGAAGCTACGTCTACGGTGTAGTCAAACGCAGCTCATACTGCAACTTGCACACCCACGCCAACATTCAGCTGGTGCAGTGCGGCGGAACAGGAACGCCTGGCCGCAAGAACAAACATGGCGCTTGTTGCCATGGAAAATGGGGCTGGCAACATTGTGTTTTAACAGACGGCGGCAAGTGGTGGGTCAAAGGCTGACACCATCCTAAAACACGGAGACGCGCGCACATGAAGGCTCCCTAGTAGTTGCTGGTTTTTAGCGCGTTTAATGTGTTTCTGAGTCTTTATCAGTGTACTATGTACATCTCCTACACACCATGGTGCACGAGTGAATGTGCAGGCACGCCGACATTGCGTCGAGACATTCACTGTTTCAGAGGCCGGTCGCACCCCTCCCCCTCCTCTCTCTAAAAAAAAAAAAAGAAAAAAAAAACATGTACAGTCGGAATGTTCACGAATCTGCCTAGCTTCTCAATCAAGCAGCGCTTTGAGATGCGCTACATCATTAGTGGCTACTGGCGAACTACAAAAAGAGAAGTATCAAAACCGTGATTAACTACAATGCTTGTTTTGTCGGCAGTCTCTACAATATCCAGAGCGCTGTTCCTCATATGAGTCCACATGCGCTCGATTGTTTTATGAGAAACCCAAGTATAAGTAACGTCACAACATTTATATTGGTGACGACTCAGTTTTATCGTGCCAGTTTTGCGGAATGTAATGATGAATGATTTCTGAAAGGCTTATCTTGTTTTAACCGTGTTCTTTCGTGCTTACTATGCTTTTTTTATGCATGCTCCAATTGCTTTAATACCAGAAGGCCGAGCCAGGGAGCCAAGCTGAAAGAACGCGTGTATCTCCAAGTCATGAACTTTACACGAAAGGGGTTATCTTAAACATATTAAAAAGTTCTAGTTGTATATATAACCCATCTGTTAATCTGCGTAAATTCACTGTAACCAGTTCTCATTTTATATCAACAGCTTAAATTGTGCTGCTTTCCAAACATTCTATTGACGGGGCGCCATTGCAAGCGAGCAAATTTGTGACGATGTTTTGTATTATAAGACTAGTTCTTTTATTAAGTGTCAAAAGTGTAGGCGGGCAGTGGGGCATCTTGTTCTGAGAAATTTAACTTGTATAAATATATACACAAGTACACACATTGAAGTTGCACGTCACCGTCCTATTAACAATATCCATGCAATGTCCTTTAAAACTTAAAAGACAGCTGCTATTTTTATGCGGTGCATTTCTCCGACTACGTTAGACTTGAACTAGTTTTGAGACCTCATACTGTTGAAAAAGTGAAGTTTACAGTGCGCGTTTTTACAGACACGCTATATACAGCTTCTACAACCGTAAACGTTTGGCATATGCGGCTACCCAGGAAGGCGTTCTTTCTTTCTTTATTTCTTTCTTTCTCTCTCTTTCTCTTTTTATGGGGGAGTTGCCGCAAAACGACTAACTTTGGCAATTGCAGGGTCGCTGTGAATGCATGTAAATATTTTAGTACGTGCAGTCCACTTATAACGATATCGAGAAAACCTAAAAATATGATCGTTATAACCGGTGATCGTTATATCTGGACTGCCGCCAAAAAATCGTCGCCGGGCGTACCTTTTGTAGCTCCAGGCTTCATTTCGCTATTTTCACCAATTAATAAATATTGTAGATAGTAGGATGTCAAAAACAAGACTTTATTTCTTACTCAGAAGAACGCATCACGGGTTCGCTGAGGAAGAGAGACTGACCGACGGCGGGGTGGGAGCAGTGGGAGGAAGAAAGCACAGCCAGAGGTACACAGCCGGAATGCCAACGAGGCCCCGCCCCGATGCCGCCGCGCCGCTTTGCTTTTCGCTTTTTTTATTTTCTCTCTCTGTCCCGCTTTCGTTCGGCAAGCTACGAGTAGCTTGCCGGCTGGCCGTTGTAGAAGGCGGGGAGCCGCGGAGCGCGGCGCTTTGCTTTTCGCATTTTTTTTTTAAATTCTCTCAGCCTCTCCGCGGTCGACGCACAGCGAGGCGCAAAACAAAACGTGACACAGCTGGCGCCATCTGTAGCACGTCGCGCCAACTCGCGATGCTCTCCTCGGCTTTTTGAACGGCCGGGACGCGCTGCCGGCGCTGTGCTGCAGTGGCGGCAGATACGTACTCGCCTACGCTGACTTTTCGTCTTGTCTCGGCATAGTTCGTTTCAGAGAAACTTATCAATCTAAATGTTACGATTATTCTGAATGAAACATGCCGTCCACGGCAAACTTTTCATCGTTGTATCCGATATGCGGTGGATAACATATCGTTATATATGGTTTTTTTCCCCATAGCCCCAATGCATAAAATGAGACTGTTAAGTCGACCCATCGTTATAACCGATAGATCGTTATATGTGGTATCGTTATAAGTGGACTGCACTATACCCTCAAAAGATAAATTACAAAAAAATTTCGTGGTGAAGAGGGTGCAGAATCTCTTCCTCTCCCCTCCTCCTGGCTTTGCGTGCGTTTGACACGGTATATATATATATATATATATATTTTAATCTCAGTTTTCTGAGCACAGCTAACTTCCAATAAATCGGCTCAGTTATTTTGAATATTGTAAGTGCCTAGCCAACGAAGAAAGAGTTAAGACAGAAGAAATCGGAATAAGACACGCCCTTTCTAAATAATTTTCGATCTCTCACAAGGGTTCTTATAATTGAACTCAAATTTGGTAGATTGGCATCTAATCTTTCAATGGTTATGACATCATGTGTTAGAAATGAATGATGGGCAAGTATGAAGGAATCTTCACCAAAAAAGCGTGCCGGAGGAGGCGAAGCGCATAGCAGTTTCTGCACGTGGCGCGCGGCTCTTTCAGTTTTATTCGACTGCAGCACCGTCGCTACAGGCAACGCGGAAAGAATCAGGCGGCGAGTCGCGGTCACGGCACTCAACACTTCTAGTACACTCTAGCTGGGGCTTTGAAAAGGCAGTACATGACTATTGCATCAATAACTTTTCTCTCAATTACTTAGTTAGTCGAACGGATGGGAGGGGGGGGTCTTTATTTCATATTTTATGGTATATAGCGTGCGTATGCAGCAGGAACCGCTTGAAGAACAGCGGGTGTGGCAGTTGAATGCCATAAACTCGGCGCTTTTGGTTGGTTATGAACAACATTTTCGAAAAAAAAAGGTCGACCAATATTCGAATAAATATGGTAAAATGCTTCCTCTCTCTCTTGTAGCTTTTGCTTGCCATTTTACATGCAGTGACAATATTTTCACACCTACGCGACTGTGGTAAAGCCTGGTATTGTGATGCAAACCAGTTCGACATTTGCCAGCAAATAAAGGGTTTTGGGTAAAAAAAAATAACTTGTGTAAAGGACAAGGAATGACTTAGAAATATTGCATATTGTCAGTGGAAGCACATGTTAAGACAAAAGTCTTAGCATGTGCATAGGTTTAGGTGCATGTTAAAGAAACTCAGGTGGTCAAAATAATTTGAAGTGCCTCACTATGGTGCATTTCAGAATCATGTCACAGTTTTGTCATGCAGAAACACCAAAATTAAATTTTTTCGGTGGACATAAGCACAAACCAAGAATAGTATTTGGATGGCAGTGTGAATGATTACAACTGCATTGTTGGAGTTTGATATAAAATTCCTTGTTTAAATATGTTTTGTGATGCAGCTTCAGCCATAATTGAAGGCACAACCAACTAGCACTGAGTATTAAAGTGTTTGACAGATTTGGTAGACATGCAGTACCAAAACAAAACTGATGTTTGAAAAATGTGAATGTAATAAGAGCAAGGCAGTTAGTTATGTGCATGCATGTGTGTGTATGTGGCAACCAACTTCTTTGTCGTGCTGTAATTTCAGATGGTGTCTGTGCTGAAAACGTCAATAGACTCTCTCACCACCATTGGAATTCTGTTGCTGGTGATTCTGCTGGCCACTGTTGGCACCATCTTCCTTGCTTTGCAGGTTTGCTTCCATTATGGTCTCTCTCTCGCATAACGAACTGGCATCTCATCACCTCATTTGTAGGTTCGAGATATCAGGCAGTGATGCTACGTTGCTACCGATTCGAAGGATTACTGCTATTTTGTTTCACAATGGCTCTAGCCCAGTTTGATGTAGTGCTGTCAACGTGAATCAATATCTAGCACAACTACAGCTTTTTTTTCTCTCAGTTTGCTCTGATTTCACAAGAATAAACAACAACTTATACATTTTTACACACCAGTTCATCTCTATTCATTGCATTCACAAGTTCTTGAAGCCTGCCATTTTACTGATGTCTTACATAATTAATTTTTTTTTGAGGTCGCGGGTTCGATTTCCGGCTGCGGCGGCTGCATTTCCGATGGAGGCGGAAATGTTGTAGGCCCGTGTACTCAGATTTGGGTGCACGTTGAAGAACCCCAGGTGGTCAAAATTTCCGGAGCCCTCCACTACGGCGTCTCCCATAATCAAATGGTGGTTTTGGGACGTTAAACCCCACAAATCAATGAATCAATCAATTAATTTTTTGTACATGTTTCTATGCCCTGTAATAGTGTTCCAAGAAGTATAGGCATTTGTGATGTTTAGAATCGGAGTTAATTAAACATGCAAGTTCTCCGTTTCTTTGTAAAGACACTCATGTATTCCATGGAAATGTTTAAGCAATGTGTTATTTTTTTTTTATTTCTAAGAGACATTTAAACTACTCTAAGGCAAACAGCAACAAGTTTGCTAGCATACAGAGCTGACATCAACTGGTTACTATGCCCAAGGCAAAAGCATTGCTGGCAAGTTATCAGGCCTCAACTAATGCCCTGTGGTTGCTCCCAACGGTAGTGTTGGGCCATGAAAAATGTTTCAGAAGCTTAAACATCGGTCTGCTCTAAAATAAGCATACAAATTGCTGTTGCTCACTGGACTATTTCACAGCTGATTACTGTAGCTTTGGCAAACACCCTGTTATGAGAGATGTCGCTCAAGGGAATATTGCTGGAGGAAAAAAAAAAAAAGCTCTTTATTGAATTCAAGGAATTTTTCAGATATATATATGGCACCTGCACGCTACTCTGTAAAGGAAAGGGAATCGAGGACAAAAAGGTCTAGCAGCAGGGGGGCAAGGGGGAGGGGAGCTGAAAAGTGTATGAAACATGTTCGGTGTTTTTAGTGTAAGCTTTTGAATGCTACAAGGAAACAAAATCGTCGTAGACAGCACAAGCGTGAAGTTTAGACTATGTACAGCCAACTAGACCCTATCCTGGCTTTTTTATGCCACCTAGACAGTCACAGCTTTGAAATATGCATGTCCAGGTGTACGGTGAAAGCATGCACTTGGTGGAGGTGACAAGCAGCCTCATCAACCACACCGTTGTCAACAGCCCAGAGCTACAGGAACTGCTGCCTGAGTCCCTGCGCAATGCCCAGGGGGCATTCGACTCAATGCTGGGAGATGCCTACCTCTACGGGCGTCAGTGGATCAGTGGCGCAGTGAGCTAATTGTTTTTTCGTAAACTTTTTCGTAACCTTGTGCATGTTAAAAATAGCTTGCGTTATTTTAACTTGCATATTGCTATACCTGCACAATGATCTGACGTCATTCACAACTGTTCAGGTGCACACAGTGGTACTACCTGTATCACCATTTGCTTTGTGTGTTCCACATTTCGTTTCAATTATGTGCCGCTGGCTGATAATGTCAGTGTCACGTAAATGCCGTAGATAAGCTAGAGCCGCAAAAGGACTGTTCTTTGTCAACCTGGCCAATGTGATTTCTTTTGTTTAAACCTCTGTCTTATCCTAAACTTCTGTCATCTCCGCATTGCTTCGGTCTGCCGAGTTGTGCAGTGTTATCCGATTTTATATTGCTTAGTGCCATCTGAGTGTTTCTTGTTTCCGTGTGCAGGTGCGACGTGCCCTGGACGATGCGGATGAGTCGCACAAGTTGGAAGTTGAGCGGCAAACGCTGGAGCTGTGGGACCGTGCCTACCACTTGTGGGTGGCACGCAATGCCACTGATGACCCCACCCTGCACCACGGGCCCTCGTGGGACGCCCTCACAGATTCTCTGCGCAATCTCGATTTCTCCCTGTTCACCAGCTTCATCAGAGACAACATTGGCACACTTATGTCGGTGGGTTCTTGCTTGGGAGCTGCTCTTTCAGATTTGAAACGTCCTGTTAGAGCACTGTGGGCATGCAAATAGGAATACCACAGAGAAGTCGGGACAGCACAAATGCTGACTGAGCACTAAAAAAGGTGCACAGCAGCATAAAAAGAAAGTAGACACGAAAACTTATCTGCACGTGCCTGGCAAGGGGCGATACTTCTAAAATTGGCACATGCGGAGGTCTGTGCAAGAGACAACTGCTTATACAAGTTAGTCGACTGTTGGCTCATGAATTCGCTACTACTTTTATTGATATGCCAGGCTTCATCTACTATAGAGGCCTTTCTTCATTGCTGCATCTGTATAACATGAATCTCTAGCAACCACCTCAGCATTCTGTCATTCTGTATAATTTCCTGTGGGACTCTATGCGCAATGAATGTCGATGGTTCAATGGAATAACTGTTGTCTAACATGAATGCTTTTCACTAAACACGCTGAAATAACTGCAAGAATGCACAATTTTTTAATAGACAACCTGTGTGGCACTTCTGCTTTAATTTGATTGAGATTTCATTGAAGTTTGATTTGAGAAGCCCGAGATTATATTTGAAAAGAAGGTCAGAATATAAAAGTCGTGTTTTTAAACGCTTATATGGAAAGAAAGCTGACAGAGATGCTATGCAGATGCAGATGGTGGATATCATGAACGATAACTTGTAAAAGTTTTGAATAAATTAATGGCTGCATTAAATGGGCAGAAGTAAATGAGATAGACAAAGCAAAAAGCAAGAGAAAGAAAAGCACCGTTGAAGTTGGGTAGTGTGCAAGGTAGTAATGACACAAAAAAGTAAAAGTGAGTTAAATAATGGCAGGTCTTGAAATTAATCGTAGCGATTCAGAAGAAAAGGCCATAAAAATAATAGAAGATTTGTACATTTCTTAGCAACGTAAGAGGGAAGCGGCTGTTAAGTGATATTTCACCCTGTCAAGCATTTTTTCCTGGTACGCTTTGCCCATGACTGCGCTCTCTTGTGCAGCAACTGTGTTCGCTTATACGTTCTTCCCCACCTGTCCTACTGGCCCTTGAGTGTTTTGAAGCTACCCCAAGTGCCTATAATGGCTTTCTTACGTTCTAGCTAATCTATATGCTTCTAGGTACTGCAGATTTCCTACAATGACAATTTATGGGACATCGCTGTTATTATGTTTTTTGATTATGCAGCATTTTGCAGAAACACGAAACCAACGAGGCTTGTTATAGCTACTGTCAAAATCTAAGCATGCCCTTTTCAACATACCCAAACTTTTACCCAGATGCCTTGTTTGGATCTCTTGGTGTAATATTGGGCCTCCCTACACATTTTTTGTGACACTCGAGATATTACAAAATAGGCAGTACAAAGCTTATGTTATTTGTTACCCTTATCCCGCAGGTGTTTGAATCTATCTGGAACCTGCTAAAGGGCAACATCAGCGTCGTTCTCAGCCTGGTTACGACGACAATCTCAATCTTGTTTGGCGGTGGTACCGCAGTTCTCAACTTCGTGCTGAATTTTGTGAGTATGCAGCCTTTCTTATTGTTGTGTTTTGAGTTCACTTCAATGCATCAAACTCTGTTGTTTTTTCTGAGCTCATTTGTTGAAGGAAGCTGACTTATTCATAAAGAAAAGGAAGCCTAAGCATGCCTCTGCATTGGCAAATTAGGCTCACAATATAGGAAAATTGTGTAGAAGTGACACCTTTGTATAAGATGCACCCTCCACCTTTTACAACCTTCATGGGAAAAAATTATATTTATGTATGACACACATCTGTATAAGACGCATCGATCCTTTACTCGGTCAACATGATGAAAGACGATACATGCAGAGTACATTCATTGCGAAACGCATAGTCTTGCAGAGCACTGAATATCTGTAAGCAGTTGAATAAAGCTTGTAAGCAATGCTGTCCTGAGGCCCTGAGGCGTAGGCGACCAATATTTATTCCGCTGGATTTGAAGCCACATCCTCTAGGGCACTGTCAAAAGTTTTTACACCTTTGTCGGTAGCATCACTCGGCTGCCGTTGTCAGCCTCTGAACAGCTCTTTGACGTGGTGTTGCAAGCACCTTGAAACACATCTGTGGCGTTGCCTCTACAGCATTATGGGGCTTGGCAGGAATACATAAACAATAAACGTACTGCACGGTCAAGACCTGCACACACTTATGCAAAACGTAAATGACGACCGGAAGCCAGAAGCTGCGGCTACTGCTTGACTGCAGCGACATCTTGCTTGAAAACTGATGATGATGTTAACGAAGTGGTACTTTTGTTTTTGTAACTGGTATTGCGAGCACTGCAACATTACAATGAAACGTTGTGGTGCCCGTTTTTCATTTAAGCCTCAGCTCCACAGGTTTAATGCTTGGTTTAAGAACATGCTATTTGAACAGTACAATAGGGTGCATGGCAGTGGTGGCTTTTATTGTGACCATTATTTCCGTGATTGTTGCACTGCTTGAACAGCTAGTAGTTGAGATCTAAGACCACATCTGCTTCATTATTACAAGATATTTTCTTAAGATTGTTGTTGCACTCGGTCTATATTACTCTCGAATCAAATATAAACACATTGGGGTCATTGAATTGCATGAATGTTTGCGTAGGTAAGATTCTGTTGTATAAAACACAGCAGTAAAAATATTGAGAGAAGGGTGCGTTTTATACTCTGGGAAATATGGTACACAAAAGTCCCGGCCCTCACTAGAAAATTTTAGCATTTCCAGCATCTCTACAGGGTTATATGGACATAAAATACGGCAATAGTAGCGTTTGGTAATGATAGGTTTCATACAATTCTTTGCACCTTGTCCTGTCACAAGCTCTAAGGTCCAAGCTTAAAAAAATTATGTAGCAGTGTACTTGTGTGCAGGGAAATTCATGTCGGAAATGAGAAATTCTGATACTAATTCATCTTTGGTGATATTTAATGTTTGGATAACAACAATCTTGGTTGACATATTGCAATATTTGGGAGCTTTTATTTTAGTTATAGGTTATAGCGATTCCTGTGCTAATTTTCTAAGTGAGCTGCCCTCTATTTGTCTCAAAATTAATTTGGTCGCACTTATAATGCTGTCAGTCTTTTTCAACAAACGTCTAAGGCTTGGCAGTATAAGGTCATGTGGGTGTTGATAGATGCATTTCTGCCATCACGCACTCTGTGTGTGTGTGTGTGTGCATGCATATGAAAAAAAGTTCAAAACTGCTAGAACATGTATGTATTGTGTATGGTAGCCGATAATGGCAGGAATCCACAAGAAAGGATGCCAACAGCATTATCTCATTGCTCAGCCATAAAATGCTTGACAGCTTTTGCTGTGCGGGATAGTCGAGGCTTTCATAATGATAAACTAAAGAAATTGGCAGAACGACATGGAGTAGAACTCTGAACATAATGTACATGCATGCGTGCATATGTATTATTGTTTGTAGGGGTACAAAAAAATGTAGGCCTTCTGTGCTACTGAGATTTTCGTTGTTTTTCTTGCAAGCTTGCCCATTCAGGGTCAAACACGACATTGGTCACCTTCTCTGCGGTTGCTGCTGTGAAATTTGCCATCAACTTCTTTGGCTGTCAACTGTCAGCGAAGCTTTTTTTTTATATTCCTTACCAGGTTTGCTTGGTAATCATGGGGTGTGTCTCACATACAGCTTGAACGTTAAAATGCATTCACTGAAAGCACTGCACCAATGCCTTCGGAATACATTGCCATGCTGCAGTGCACCAACTCATGCAGAACACTGTCATACACAGTGGACCCAAGCCATCAACACATCTTTCTTGCCAAAGAACATGCTCATGTGGAAGTGCTTACAGGCAAATCTTGCAGGCTTTGAGTCACACTGTGAACTTTACTAGCACTTTTAATTTTTTGCCCATCAGGCGGCACTTACCAGTTGTGTTTCTTACAAGCCCTTGCTTGTGTGTTGTTGCCTGCAGGTCGTTTTCATGACTGCACTCTACTACCTTCTGCGTGCAAGCAAGGAACGCTACAAGCCACTGGATCTCTTTGCTAGCATGTTGCCAGGCTCAGCTAGCCGCCTGGGTGAAGCGGTCGAGGAAGCTGTGGCAGGCGTCTTTGCAGCCTCTTTCAAGATGGCTGCATTTTATGGTCTCTACACGTGGCTTATACATACGCTCTTTGATGTCAAGATGGTGTACATTCCCACTGGTGAGCACTTACATTGTAGAATACGATAGTTAATATGGTAAGCTGCGTTTTGGATGACTAGCCAAGTTCATAAGAATGCTAGGAGAGTTGAAACCAGGTGTGGAACTTGTGTTTCGCTCGTGAAGCGCGCTTAATAGCCGTAGCAGAAACAGTGGGAGAAACTTTAATGGAAGCAGAGTGGAAAGAAAGGCGTGAGTAGTGTCAAACTAGCCAATGAAAATGACGGCATAGTGAAGTTGACGAGGGTGGCACATTCTGTTGTTCTAACTGTTGCGATGCAGCAACAGTTAGTATTATAATTTGACTTGCAATTCCATCTGAAGCAGGTTTAAGGAGGAACTATCAGTGATGATGGCGTGGCATTTGCTAGAAGCATCTACAGTAGACTCGTTAAACAGAACCTGAAGAGACCAGGAAAATGTGTTCCATTTAACAGGAGTTTCATTTACTCAGAGATGCACTGGGGTGGAGAATCCAAATATGAAACCAATCGTGCTGGAGGCAGTTGTTTCATTTAAGCAGCAGTTTAGTTTAACAGATTTCTGTTTAATAAGTCTGCTTTATACACTACGACTTACTGTGGCTGGCTGTCTGAGGTGAGTTGTCCCTCTTCTTCTTATCCTAACAGCACTGGCATCCCTGTTTGGGGCAGTGCCTTTCATTGGTGCATACTGGGCTTGCCTGCCAGCCGTGCTGGAGCTGTGGCTGGTTCAAGCACAGCGCCTCAAGGCACTCCTCATGCTCATCTGCCAACTGGCGCCCACTTACTTCGTTGACTGCGCCATCTATGCCGAGATTAAGGGGCAAGTATTTTTCTCTCCCGTGTCCCATTCACAAGTGCTAGCTACACAGCTGTTGGCTTAGTCAAATGAGTTCAGTCTGGAACACCAGGCAAAAGAATCAAACAGGGCGGAACTGGACTGAAAACTAACTGCAATCTCATTATATGAACTTTGCTTATGGGACAGTGATCATGGGTGTCTGGAGGAGATTGCAAAGGGGAGGAGCTGCTCCCTCTTGGGATTCTAGATATTTTTCTATGCAGTAGCAATAAGCTAAACAGCTTGATTAGCGCAGTCATGACTCGCTGTTCATGTGAACAGCCTTCAGGATTGCTAGCCAACTTTTCACGTTGTATGGTCATGTCATAAAAGTTTGGTTAGCTGAGGTGAGTGTCCCTCACCCCACCTAATGTTGTTTTTTGATGCACCTTTCTGGAAAAATTCTGAGGATGCCCTCGACACTGATGTACATATTAAATTTAACCGGTATGTACCAGTAAAGCATTCTTCCAATATTTTTTCTTCATTACTTATTTTGGCAGAAGAATTGCAGAGGGAATGAAGGCCATTCCTGCGCCTGTCAAATTACACGTCCAAGCCACTGTGCCAGATTGTAAAGTTTTTACTCCACTTTGGGATTTTGCTGTGTACAAAACATTGTGGGCTTAAGTTCCTGGTTTCTTTCGATTGAAGTGAGACAATACTCTTCTTACTAAACAAGTGCCCTATTTCTGAACCCACATCTTCAAAATACATTCCAATCCTGGTGAAATTGACAAATTTTGGTGTTTGAGTAGCCTTAAACCTAGCTTTAGGTGAATTTTGACATGAACTTTTGTTATAACACTCATTTCTTGTAGCGTAGAAGCTTTTCTATGTTCGAAATTCGCTGTTGCACTTTTGCTACGAATGTACCGACCACATTACATAGGTCAATCTTGTCTCTTCCTTGCTCTGCAGGGGTGGTCATCCCTTTTTGACTGGGCTGGCGATAGCAGGCTGGTGTCTTCTGCCTGGGTTTCCAGGGTGCACTGTTTGGGCCCATGCTTCTGTGTGTTCTCATTGTAGCCATGAAAGTGTACCGCTCTGTGATGCAATCCATGCCCGCTGGCTCAGGGGAACGGCGCTTCAGCTTCAAGAGGTGAGGCCGTCAATGTGACGTCGACCACACATTTTTGCCACCTATAAAGCCTGGAGTGGTACTCTCTCCTTGGACACTTCTCCTGTGCCTTTAGTTGGCTACAAAGAAGCATCATTTATAAGGGCTTCAAACTGCTTGTTTGTTGCACTAAAAAAATTACAAATAGGTGCTCTAGTAGTTTAACATCCTGGTTACTGAACACTGACTGCTGTTCAGTTTGCCATATAATTAGCACACTCCTGTTAGTTCAATCTTTATGTAAGGCAGATTCATAACATTCTCTCACATGTGTATATTTGAGGAAGTCTGTATTAAGCTTTTGATGCAGGTTACACTGCATTGTGTATAGTTTAGGCCAAAAACAAAGGTACCAGCCAATTCCTTAACTTTCGTGAAATAAGATACACATGGAAGCCCAAGAGTAGATCTTCTCTGATTAGCAGCTCTCTTTAGTTAGCTGCATACTGGCTACGTGCATTTTGCTGCAGCATATGCTCAATGTTTTTCGGGTTTTTAACTGCATTCACGGTGCTTGTAATTTGTTAACGAATGCCAATTTGTCGAGGAAGTAAGAATTTGCCTGTTCCTGCTGCGAGAATGTTGCAAAGAATTAGCATTAAGGCAGTAGTATAGAAAACTATGCTGGCACCAAACTGCAGGTACTATAGCTCACTAAGCATTAAACATACAGGAATGTGCATTTGTAACATGTGTGCACATGTAAAGTCAAGTTCATGTCTTTAGGTGATGGCATGTTTGGACACATGTCAACACATTGTAGTATGCAGGCTCATTTCACCATGTTCTGTGCGTTGACAGCTTTGCAGTCTGTCACAAGCAGCCTGTAATGAATGGGCTGCAATTTGAGCACTTCACAAGTGGTCAAATGCTTTTGACATGACAAAACTTTACGTTCGGGTTCTCTTACTTGTTGCTGCTTGTCATCGCATTGTTATGGCATTGTCAGCGCCAGGTGTCTCAAAACCTCGCAGATTGCACTGTTGGTGACTGCTGTCGTTAAAAAGGTCTGTGTTGCATATGCTGCGTTGAGACCCACATTTCACGGATGCACACTTTCATAAGCGACTGTATCTGTTCCTTCATTATTGTAACTATGCAAGAGTATTTTTTTGTGCAATGCCAAGTTGCATGCATCAAAAGTATGCGAGAACATCTCTCTGTCTTGCTTGTGACCGACTTTTCATTGCAAGAGAAATGGATTTTATGTTTTTACAAGTTGAATGCATGTCTTGGCAGCCAGGTGTGGCTCTGTATTTGTGGAATATATTATCAAGGTGCCCCCACATCACTGGGAAAGCAGAGCACAGAGTGACGAGCTAGTTTACACTAACTATGTTGAGAATAACTTGATGCACTGTAGCGATGCATTGAACTACGCATATGAATTGCTGGCACCCACAACTGACAGAACTTGTTAGAAACTGAAGGCAATGCTAGAGTTATGCCCTAGCACCCTTACACGTCAAGTCTGCACCTGTACACCTGGCATGTTAGGGTGTTCGAAACGTTTCATCTGCCATGCAATTTTCTTCGTTTGTTGAATCTGAGTAGAATGCAGCCTTAGCTTTGCCAACCTAACATTCGTGAGAAGCGTTGCTTTCAAGAAGACCGGCATACGCATAAATAGCAACCAACTCATCACTGCAGCAGCACTATTCAAGTTACATAAACATTGTTTGCAGTGCAAGTGCAAATAATTAGGTGGCTTTTCGTAAAGTTTTGTTCAGCACTCAATGAGTTGCTGTTGCATGTGCTCAACAGCAGTGAATGGAAAGTCTGCGTTCAAAATGTGTTTGTGTGAAGCGTGGGTCTTGACAGCAAGTGTACAGTATTAAATGAAGCAGTGATACTGTATGATTTCTTGCTTGACATCCCTTGAAAATTTGTATTTCCAGTGCATGCCTTAAACAATTGCCTGTTTTATACAACAAAACAAGTGACAAGAGGCCCTAACGACAATCAAGACGTAGCACATAGTGTGAATCGAGGTGACGGTTAAAATATTTGGTTAGCGGAAGGACTATGTTTGGCCTGTTTTAAGTTGCATTTGCCACTACAAAAACCTGACGGTTGAGCTCTTCACGCCATCCATGTTATTTTCAGTGAATGACATTGGTGGTTGCATTGGTGCTTTGCTTCTCCATCCTCCATTCAGCGAGCTTAAACCTGCACGCATGGTCTAGCTGGTGCATTTAATAGGCTGCAGTAGTGTACTCATTTGTGTTTGCTTTCTTTTGTACTTATTCTGCTGATAACTCCCCGATAGGTGCTTGTGTACAAAACACTGAACTTGCATGTATCTTTAGTGCAGACATTTAGAGAATGCACATAATTCATGCTGCATTCATGAAAGACAAGCTGAATGTCTCCTAGATGAATAACATAATGTTTTCAGAACATCGACAGTGGCACTGTCATTTCAGGGTGCTTATATACAGTCGAATCTCAATAATTCGAACTCGAAGGGACCCGAACACTTGTTTGAACTGAAAGAAGTTAGAATTAACGAAAGCTAAATGAACGGAGCGCTCACCATGCAGTGACACATGTGCGTTGAGCTAACACATTAGAGGGAAATTTCAAAATATTTACATTTACGAATCACACGACATCCATCATTAATTGAAGTAATCGGTGATGCGCGTCTGCACACATTTGCCTTGCAGCGAATCAATCAATTTTGCACGCAGTTTGCAAAGCATTTTAACTTCGGCTTCAGCGTTCTCCTTGCAAGAGAAATAGCGAGCAGCTAAGTCCAGCGCCAACACTCTCTAAAGACGACGCCAACGAGTGCATCTCCCCTCTTGCCCTCTGCTACACAACTGCAGCGTGGCCAGCACATGACTGAGAAAGGAGGAGCTTCCCTGCGAGAGGAGGAGCATATCGGCATTTGAGAAAGAACCAACACTCCACAGGCAGCTTTTTTTTTTTTTTTTGCTCTCTTTGCGCGCGGTACTGAAACGGACAAGGGTCTCTACATTGATGTGGCAGGTACTGGAAAGGGGAAGCGTGGCACTCCGCGACAGCTTTCTTTCTTTTTTTTCTTCCTCTCTCTCTTCGCGTGCGGCATTGATAGGAGAAGGGTCTGTACATGGCAGGGACAAAAAAAAAAAGGGAGAAGCGGGACACAGGCGCATTGAAGATCGGCATTTGAGGGAGCGCAAACATTCCGCTAAAGCCTTTTCTTTCCTTTTCTTATTTTCCTTCTTTGCGCGCAGCGTCGAGGATCGAAGGTGTTGTCGCGGGATTGGGCGTGGTAACGAGCGCATTTTTGAAGCGCGGTATGTTCGAATTAACCGTCGCAAGTGCTTGCGCGTTCGAATTACAGGACGTTTTCGACCATTGAAATACACATAACTTTGACGAGACCACAGTGTGAGTTCGAATTAACCGTCTTCAAATTAATGATATTCGACTGTACCATGTTTGCATGTGTGCAGCTGACACTGCCAGTTTCTTATAGCATGCTAGCTCAGGTAACACAGTACTGTCTTAATTAAGGGTGACCTAGGTTCTTTGTAGCTATAGCTCCTGCAACTGATATTTTAACCCTATCAAAACTTGTGTGATGATCCTAGTATGAGAATAGTGAGAAAAGCTTGCGAGCAATCTTGCAGCTGCAGTTGTATTTGCTGGTAGCATTCTGCATACATAGCTTTCAGGCATACGTGCTCTAAAGGCTTTGTGCTAAAGTACTTTGCCTAGCCACTGTTTGAGGGAGAGTCACAGCTTGAGTTTTCTGGCAAAACCCCATTTGCTAGTTTATTCATGATTACACCCTCTTGAGTGTGCATAAATGTGCTGGCCACATTAAACCTAAGTCTAACACTAACATTACTCCTCATAATGAACATGGTACAACGAATTATTCGGTTTAACGAAGTGAATATATTTATAGTACTGTTTTATTTCAATGGCATATTCTTCTCCAGTAACAAAACTAAATATGTGGCCCAACATGGTGACATTGTGGTGAAACAACTTTGCACGTGGCTGCACATACATATTCTATCTCAAAAAAGTCAAATACAATTGTCGTTTGCATTTTTAGATCTGCATGCTTAGCTGGACTTCCCTATGGCACACCATGCCCCTAAAGTTTGTTTACAAAGGAACACGAGAATTTTGGGCTCCACGGGATGTGCTGTGGAATTTTCCAAACGTGATCTGCCCAATTAGTGCTGCAGGAATACTGGTTGTAAACAAACTTGTGACCATATTGACTGGGCTTCTTAACTTTAGGTCTGACATGTAGTATTCTTGTATTGGGTGCGACTTCATCACAGTGACAAGGTTCAACTGCATTTCATGATTTTGAACCTTTGTATTTGTGAAATTTGGTCCTTCTGTGTGCAAGAGATATGTGGTAACATCCATAAAACTGCTAAAACATTTGTCAGTAATTCTTTAATGCTACTGTATTTCAGTGAGCCTATCAATCATCACTTCCACTGCACTCTACTAGTCAACATGGTGCACTCTCACACAGTGTCAGATGCTGCTGACTAAGCTGCTGAACTTGTCGTTGTGGTGAAAAGAGCTTGCAAAGTCTGCAGTGGTGTGCGTACATAGTTTGGTGCTGGCTGTCTTTATCATGCACGCAGCCAGGCTAGAACTCTTGCAGCAAGGGAGGCCTCGTTCAGTGCTTATCATCACTGTTCACCGACCGAAGTGTACTTGCACGCTGTCATCTTTCATTTTTGCTTCTTGCTGTTTTTACTTTTGGTTGTGGTGCCAATGGGATTCGCTTCTGTTTAGGATGTTCACAATAGACTAGCGTGGCATGGTGCACATCACCCCTGTGGACACAAGGTGAGAGGCTCATCAGCTTCGTAAAAATTGGCCCGCTTCTTCTCTGTTTTGCAGACGTTCTATTGCTCTTCCTTTTTAACACTGCCCTCCTCCCTGTTTGCCCGTTCTCCTGGCTGCCCACGTGACTGATTGCGTGCATGCTAATATGTATCACAGCCTGTGGTGCTCTTTAACTGTTTCCTTACTAACGAACAAAGTGCCAAGTTACACTGATTCTAGGAAGAGTTCAATTTCTGTACAACTTTTAACAAAGTGTGTTTGTTTGGACAGCCACTCAGAAAGTGGGAGCATGCACTGAAAAAGGATGATGAATCGTTTTTAACTTTAGCGTAGTGAAGGTCATTGTCCTTTACTCTAAATAATGAAAAGCTATTTAAAAAGTGTACACTGTGCGCAACACATACAATTTAAAGAGCTGTTAGATACACATTGCTATACAGATGCATTTATTACAGTTTTTGTGGACAGATAGTAATGTTATTGGCTTGGATTCAATAATTAATTACTGCCTTTGATTTGTGTTTGGGCTAAAAATTTAATTATTGGTTTATATACCAAGCACAAAACCAAATTTTTTATAACAAGCTGGGCAAGATCGATTGGGATGTAAAAACAGCACAAAAAATATAGACAAGGACAGAGGAAGAGCATGAACATTCCAAGCATGAACCACCAACTAGCCCAACTTTTCGCTGTTATGGTCAAGCTTCGCTGGCTAGAACCAACGTCGTCTACATAATCCTTGTTACTGCTGTCACTATTTACCTTCAGTGGAAGATTTGAGCTCAGCTTTGTACAAGGAGGAAAATAAAAACCAAAAGGCATGGTGCGCTATACAAAAATGTGTTTGAATAGCTGTGCACTGTACTAGGCTTCATTGGTTATGACTGTCAAATTGAAGCAGCTGCCAAAGAATGTAGCCAAAATAATTTGACAAAAGTTTTAATATAGTCAATTAATATGATGACAAAATCTCAGTCAATGACTAAGGAATTGGTCAGGGAGCACAGTTTTTTTCTGTCATTTGCCAAGGAAACTGCATCCTGCAGTTTTGTGTTGTGAAATAGTACGCTCGGGGTCTGGGATGAGAAAAGGCAGAAATAAAGGAGGGAAGAAGTATGCCTCTATGTCAGTGGTGCCAGTTTGTCACTTAATTGTCACTTAATTTTTGAGCAGCTTTGCAAGAAAGCTGTTAATTGCTTTTCATTGGTGTAGTAAGGAAAGAGTTATACCTTGCTATCCCAAGTTTGCATTGTTGTCGTGCAACTCTGTTTGGCGGGTACAATTTAGATTACTGAAACTATTTATGACCGCACTGTCATGCGTCTATGCAGGACCCACACAACTTTTTGAAAGCATTTGAGCAAGGCTCATTTGCAAAAAGTATGCTATCACGGCATAGTTCCAGTTCTAATATGTGGGGCAGGACTATGGGAAATAAGAAAGCAACTAGAGAAAAGGTTGAAGGCAACGCAGCATGCAATGGAACGTAAAATGATTGGAGTAAAATCTAAGAAATCTGAGGATGGCAGAATGGGTCAGGGAATAACAGGGGTAGCAGATGTCCTAGTTGACTTCAAGCGAAAGAAATGGACCTGGGCTGGTCACGCAATGCATACAATAGACAAGTGATACACAGTAACAGCAAAATGGTTACTTAGGGATGAAAAAGTGAGTCGAGAAAGGTGGCAAATCAAATGGAGTGATAAAATTTCAGAAGTCTGTAGAGATAAAATGAAATGAACTCGCACAGGAGAGGATAAACTGGAGATCATTGGTAGGTGCATTCGTCCTGCTGTGGATTAAGACAGACTGGAAATGATGATGATAACATGCGCAGAAATGTAAAGTGCGTACTAAGCAACCGATTGCTGCAGATTGTTAGGACTAAGAAAAATTATAATGACTTAAATATACATCATATCGTATAAGACAAAACTGGCAGTACAGCACCTATTTCATCGTACAAACACAAATGCTGTCAGCTTGTGCTCACGGTGACCAGGTTCATGCCATTGTTTTGTACTGGCATACATCAATGCGTGCAGCAGCCTGAATATCAAACATGAACTCATTTTTACTAAGCGTGCCTTACGAGTGAGCCTGAATCACTATTGACTAAACTCTTGCTTCACTGAAAAGCCATAGTTTAGATTCAACATTATCACTATTGACTAAACTCTTGCTTCACTGAAAAGCCATAGTTTAGATTCAACATTCGTTTGAACTGGGTAGTTTTAAATTCCCTAGAAAAGTAGAAAAGCTGTAATGCTATGTGTATTGTTTGAGTTCTCAAGCTATCAATCTGAGTAACCATCATTCAACTGTATATTATGAATGCGCAGTGTACTAGTAGTAGTAGTAAAAACTTCGTAGTTTTTTAATTGTTAATTTCAATGGTGTCAGCCATCAGCCAAGTTGATCACTGTAGCAAGTTACAGTAAATTTTGACCTATTGCATTACTCAGTTTCTGTTAATTTCTTCAGTCAGCTTGTAGTGGCAGTTTTTTGGTTAGAGCTTTTCTCCCGCCCTTTTGATTATTTTCTTATTGTAATTCCAAGTTTGCCTTAGAATGGCTTGCACTCGCTCATATCTATAACTGTCATCAGGCACAACAGTTAGTTAACCTTAAATGTAGTGTTTACTCTGTGAACACCATGACAAAAAACATACAAGCTCTTACTCTCATAGCTCTGAAGCGTGTCAACTTCAGAAATGCATTAGAAATGCTCTGGTTGGGCATCTGCTGAATTATTTTAAAATGAATAACGCAAGTAATTTAGTCAATGTTTGCAACTCTACACAGTGCCTGTGTTCAGTAATGCCTTATCTGATAGATCTATTTAGTCATCAGTTATTTCTTTTTTTTTCCATAATTGTAAAAGATTAGGAAAATAGCACATGTCTGATAATATAACTTGAGTCTAGACACAACGCGAAAAAAGAAAACTGGCAACCCTGTAAACACAGGAAACCAGTGTTCAGTAAGTTCCTAGAGCGTGCTACAGCATGTTGGAACAGTCTGTTGCACTTACCAGAAAATGCATTGAGTGCACAATGATAACAGGTTTTCCCTCACATTATTCTAAGATTAAGAGACTCATTCGTTGTCATATTGAACCTATTGTGTAGTGCCTTTAAAGAGCAGAAATTTCCCTTAATGGTTCTCGTACACGAAAGTACTTTGTTTATTTGAGTTTGAAATTATTAGTAAGCCATGTTGTATATGGATAAGTGCTGCTGTAAAGGCAGGTGTTGTGTTCACAGAGTACCAGTATGTTGCATTTTTGTAGTGAAGTCAGATATCTGCTCCCAACAGTTGGTAGAGTTGCCTCCTTCAAACGTAACAAATATTGAACAAATCATTCGGGCAGTTAACATCAGTTGCCAGATTGTTTATGCATTTTCATATCATAAGAGTGGGAAGGGTTGAAACTATTATATATGGTGGAGTGTATAGTTTCATAGAGGCCTTTGGCCATAGCATGGGAACTGGAAGCATGTGATCTTACAGTAAACTAAGCATGTGCATTTTGCTTACCTCTCCTGATTTATCAATTTTTATTTTACCCATACCCCACCTGTAACATTTTCCTTGTTTTCAAGACAAGCGTGTAATCTTGTACCTATTCCATAAATGAACAAATATATTTGTAGTATACGACTTGTCAAGGCTAGCTCGACCAGCTTTGACCGATTATGTGCACAAAAATATTGATTATGTGCACAAAAATATTAGTTCACCTTATTCTCTTAGCTTGGCTATAGTTAACCAAACTAGCTAGTGCGACATAAAGTATTTGTATAGTATAAGCGTGTTGTGTGGTTTTTATAAATGTGCTTTTATATGTCTTGCTATTTGAACATATTACATCAAAACACATAATTGTAGTAGCATGTTGCATACAATCTCACATCATTTTATAGTGTTTGCCATTACCAACTGTTGCTGTGTCACATTGTCGCAAATATTCACAACTCAATGAATACATTACACGTGCATAAAGGAAGGATGTCTGTTTAATACACTACTTCCGTGTTCAAGCAACATTATACATTGTTCTCCGCCACTTCCGGAAGCATCACTTCCGATGGGGAATGCCTTATTGGCAAGCATGTACTCTAGCTTTGCTTGTGAACTGTACATCTGAAGATATCGTGGACAGAGAAGCACAAAAGTAATCTAAGTGTTTCTTAATCATACCACTGCACAATTTCGTTGATTACAGATACCACACATTGCAAACCATTCCCAAGAAAAAACGCTTTTAAAAAATCACTTTTAAGAAGTGATTTCTGAGACTGCTTGCGAAATTTGAACATTGTACTTTTACAGGTAAAAAATGTACCTAGCTGGAAACAGCATTGCGAACTAAAACACGGCAAATTTTATTTTTTTCAGCATCATCAACTTGTGATAGCTTCAAATTTACACTCCTGAGGACCGCTTTCAAAATCTCATATTTCGATATTGCACGCAAGCTTTTCTTTTGTTAATAACTTTACCAATTTCATATCAATGGAGCAAACAGAAAGAAGAAGGGGCGGGGGGAGAATTCAGCAAAGTGCTCAACTCGTCTCTATTTGGCTTTTAAATTCACATTCATTACATTACCTTCTTTTTTTTTCTGTCCAGTTCTGTGGTGTTTGTTACATCCGTGCACAAAACTTTGTCTTCTTAACATTTCCCAGTTTAAACCAGATTTCTCACTCATATGCAGAACGATATGTTTAGTGCAGTGGTCTAGGTTTCTAAGATTTTGTTGTGCACATTCTACAGATGCCTACAGCAATTTCAAAAACGTAGATGGACTTCAAATTTTTTTTTCTCAATATATAAATGAGAAGCTCATAGTGTCTAATAGCACTGTGGGATCTTCATGAAGCATTTTAAGCACCCTCTTTAGCCTTACACTGCACCAAGAGTTTACACGAATGGGCACACTTTTTTCTGCTTCGTGGACCATATAGAAAGAACCTGATGAGATATCGAAAATTTGCTTGAAATGTTAAAAAGAAAATTCTAGGTCCTTTTATGTTTGGACGTTGCATATAGCCTTCCCACAAGTTGGGTAGCAAACTGAACTTAGTCTAGTTTCAGTGCTTTTCCTGTATTTCATCTAAGATACAGCTATCTCTATTATTGTTGAAAAAAAGTCTTCCGAATAGAATCTTTTTTTTTTTTTTTGAGCACAATTTCATTTCAAATTCTGCACACTAGCTTGGCACATCAGGACACATCTGGACGAAATTGATGTGCCTCACATAACTTAGATTGTCACAGATTGAGTTACTCCTATGAAACACATTAACTAACCCTTGCCTACAGTTTCCCACAGCATGTGTTGCATAGACCGTTTCATCGCATTAAAGCAAAGCAAAGGGCCAGTTTGAGTGAAGTGACCTTTAACACTGAGATATTTGTGAAAGGGTTGCAGCTTTTGTCTGCCGATGCGTAAAGCAGTCAACTCGCAAGAGGGAACTCTGTTTTTATGCAAATGCACCGTAACTTGCATCGCATCTGCTGCACGCTTGCTCAGTGTGCTGTGGCTCTGCATTTTCTCTGCATTCCTGCTCTGTGTACAACCAGTTTAATGAGTACGGTGCTCACAGTTGCCAAGGCAGAGACTGCACAAGCATTTACGTGCGACTAGGTGCAATGCATAGCAGGGCCCATCGCACTGATGCCTCGTAGGCTCACTTGCCTCTTTTTCTTTTTTTCAGATACAACAGCAGATGAAGCATCCTGTTATCTGTTGACATCCTGCCTCCTTACCTGCTGCTAGTCATTTTGTGCCTTGCTCAGCCAATTTAAAAGTCGCCAATCCATGCCTTCCGTCTGCAGCGCACAATAGCCACTGCAGCCTACATCTCTGGCTCACGCAGGCGCCTTTTTACGTTGTTTACGCAATGTTTTCTTACGTACACTATGCCAATTAATGCAGCACAGCGAAATATAAACGTGTTGTCGCTTCGCTCGAATGTTTTGAAAGTATGTTGGAGCAATAATACTCGCAATGTCACAAGTTCTCGTCGTGCTTGCATTTCGATACGGCCGAAGTACTACTAACACCAAAGAACGTCTCGCAATTTTACTGGTCACATCGTGCGAAGTTTGTCTCGCGGTCATTGAGGCATATGACGAAGAATGGCAACTCTTTGTGTATATTGTGTGCGTCCAGAAAAGTAATGTTATTGGAAAGATTTTGCATTTGAATAGCGTAGTTCAGAATTTTCACTCGGTGCAATCATTTTAGGGCAAATCTGTGCTGACAAGTTCGCCTAATACTGTGTGATTCAGTGATGAATGTTGAATAGATCGATAGCAGGCTACTCGACGTTTGACAATTGCCTTCATGTTACCTGGTGCCCAACCGTTGTTGATAGAGAAGCTGCTTGCTGTTCAGACTATTCACAATATACATCAGATCTGCAGGATGAAACCATCACTATTATTTACAAAATAAAGGTTGTGTTTGATGAAGATGTGTCCGTGTGATAAGAAATGCGTGCACTTGTGAAATCAAACTGAATAGATGTGGCTTGTAAGTCTAACAGCAAATAAACAAGAAAGGGAAAAAGCTTTTTAGTAGATTTACAGGCGGTAAGTTTTCATCCTACTACGGTTTTGAAATGCAGTTTTAAGCTATTCTGGACTCAAGTTGTTGGGAGTTTGAAGACTACCGAAAACTTGTGGGGGCCTCGCAAACTTCCTCAAAAACATATGGCCGCATCATAGGCATGTCCAGGATTTTCCGTGTTTTCCACATTTCACTGCAGCCCAACTGCCACCTCCCCCCCTCCCCCCTTTTATTTGGATGAGTCCAACAGAAAGCAAGTTTTGCAATGTGGGGCAAAAAGATAAATGAAGCGAGGATTTGATGAGCAAACCAACCTGCCACGGAGGTGCAAACTAGCTTTACGGTGGTACGTAAACTATTTTTGGAATGAAACACATTGGGGTCCTCGAGCGCCATTATTTTCAAAAACCTGCATCGAGATAATGCTACAGACTAAGCAATGACTAGACCGGTTTGAACAAATGAAGACACGGTGCTGACATGACGCCCCATTAGGTCAAGGGCGGTGGCTACCCCTCTGCGCTCATGCGAACACCGACTCGCACTCTTGCAACTGAGTTTTGCCGCGCACACTCTAGAATGTCTAGTCATTCATATATAATTAGTTATGTTAGAACTAGTAATTTATATGTCAGCAGTTGCAAAATTGTTCTTATTGCAGCAAAGGCTTAATTGATGTGCAGGAGTGGCAAATGTTAGAATGATAGAGCCCGCAATGTGTTTACGCTAAGGTTGCTTGAAAAAAAATGTAGCGCTGCATTTGTTCAGTTGCTGTAAGGTTTATGGGTGTAGAACAAAGACTGCTCATGAAGGATATAGCTGCATGATCTTACAAGTGTGCTAAAGGTAGACATTTTGACAGCACAGGGTAACGTACACCTTTAACGATTTTGAACTATGTGTTCCTCTGTGCAACTCTCAAAACAATTATTGGAAATTCGGTGTCACATTTACACAAGACTGCTTTTCGCAAGGAAACTATTTAAGGGCAATAAAGCTGGCCGTAGATGTGTTGCTTACTGCACCACCACTTCGCGTTTCCTACTACTTGAAGACGTAGACTTTAGGTAGGAAAAGTAGTACCTCTACCTCCACCATCAGGGCCACATCACAAGCCATGTCAGCTAAGCCTGTAGTTATTGAGAAACTTGCTTATTTAAAAGGGAGATGTGGGTCTTAAAAAATGTTTTTGTAATAATTGAGCAACAGAATTATATTTAATTCATGTATTCAGTTTTTATGCAGATCCAAAATCTATGAGTAGATGTTTAATACCTGCATTCGAACAGATGTATTTTATGAACATTTTGTAGCATAATTTTTGCATGAATCTATGGCAACTTCTTTTCATCAAACACAACAAAGTATGCGGCAAGATTCTGAGAAAGCTAGTCTAGCCAATGATGTTGTTTGTTTTCTTATAACATTGTTTACCAATCCCTAATGCCCCATAATCATGACGTGTGGGCTTGTGTGAACAGTGAATTTAAAGTTCGAAGAGAATTCGAAGTGAATAGTGGGTTTAGGTATTTTTAATCGAATATCAATAGTATATAACACATACTACTAAAAAAATGGGTATATTTGTCATGGGTCATGACCCAACTAAACTGTGCAGTATTTATAAAAAATTGAAGCAAGGCCTGTGCAAATGCCATTCTTTTTGGGTCAGTGGAAGTGGAAACAACTGTGAATAGTAGCAGGATTTGACTTTCGGTATAATGCAAATAATAACCAGTCAAATAGGTTACGCTTTTAAAAATTTTACTATACTTAGAGCAGATAAGCTGGTATAAACAGGCTTTTCAACTTCAATACTGGTGTATTGATGTGAAGGTAGTATGTTCATTTGACCTTCAAGTGAGGCTTCGCGGCAGTGCGGATTTTCTTTGGATAGGTGCTTTCACGGCTTAGCACTCCCACCACTGCAGTGAAAACACATTTAGAAAGGGTTACATGCAGATTAATATACATTTATATAGGTGTTTTCACGGCTTTGTACCTTTATGCGGCTGTGAAACCACTTTTACAGGGGGTTACATGCGCATTATATAGATGTATTCGTTCATTGCGAATACTTCAAAATTTTGAGCAATTTAAAGTCTAATCAAAGCAAATTCAAATACAATAATAACCATTCGAATATTCACACAAGTTTAATAATGTGTATGTAGCAAAAAGTTTTCACTCGTATTCGCATTCGAAATTCAATGAAAACAATGAAAATGTGATCAGCTAGTCTAACTCTCAGGCCATCTTGCCGGATACTTAATGTGTTTGACAAAGCTAAGTTGCCAAAAATAACCATAGCATATGTTTTGTTCTAATTCAGTTAATCCAAATCTGTAGAAGAAACTGAAAGAGTGTATCAAATTTCATTCAGTTGACCCAACTAATAAAGAAAATTCTTTAAGACCAATACTTCTCTCGCTTGAAGGGCCCCTAAACCACCCAGAGATTGAAATTTAGTCGTTTAGCAGTTGTGCAAGAGTGTAGCAAACGCTGGCGGGGTTGCACGCATTTTCTCATTTCGCTCTTTGCTTCACTAAGCTGAATTTGCGGGCACGTCTCTACCTGAGTGCCCTTCCTCAGCGTCCAAGGCGGAGACGTAAGACGCAAGTTATCTGCTAGCAGGAAACAGTCTCTAGCTCGTGAAATCACCTAATCATACAGGTGGCGTCATGACGGCTGTTGTCGACTGAACAAAGGCACGTGTTTCAAAGAGACCCTTTGAAACGCACTGTTTCGTAGTTAGGTTAACAGTGATAGTTTATGGCAACGTGCATGGAAAATAAAAGATGGTGATGAAACAGAATTAGACAAAAGATGAAGTGCCATAATTTTGGGAGGCATGCTGCCAATCAAGGATTGCCAGACAGGTACTGTATCTTCGTAATCCCCGACTTGAAGTTAGGAGTTGCGGTCAGAAACGAAGTAACCGCTAACGATTTATTTCGATTGCATTCACAGAACGACACCCAACAGGAAACAGAGCTAACAAGAGACCCTGACTTGCGTACGCAAGTCTAGAACCTACACAAATTTTCATTAGCCTGACCGTTTTAGCAATCTTGGAGAATGACAGATACTAAATTCAACGCAAACAGTACTAAAATTTTTTGGCCAGTTGTGTTAGTTCGATACCTCAAGCCATACACGAACAGGGTTCACATTCGTTTACATGACAAAAATGAAAGGTTCTCAAGAAGTTTCCATGTAGGCAAGTTTTCAAGGACCACATTGTTTGTTAGAAATCCGACTAGCACATCTTCAGGGAAAGATGGAAGCCTGAAATGACGAATTCACTGAAAAAGGGTACCATCACTGGAGCAGATATCGAAGACATGGCTCCAATGACATTTTCTTTCTAGAGAACTTCCATTCATGGTTTCTTAAAGTTGAAATCACTTTCTGTATGACACAAGTTGCAAACTTTTATTCAGATAGGAAAAACTAAGTGCAACGCCTTGTTGCTTTTTCCGAGTTTTCATATAAATACCCACTATGTTCTGTTACTTGTTATAGGCAGTCTTTCTAAGGCTGTTTGACTTGATCATGCACGCCAGGTTGCTGTCTCTGCATACAAGTCTGCTGTAGCTGCAAATACCTAAACAGCTGCTTCTAGTTTCTTTTTTGTAAGCATTTCGACCTTCTCCAATACTTATTTCGTTTTGTTTCTCATCCTTCTGCCTTTTCAGTTCTTAGAAATGCACGGTGTTGGTTTCGTGCAAAAGCTACTGATGTTCTCAATTCTTTTTTGATGGGCACATTAGATTGCCATCTGCTACATTTACGGCATCCCAAATAATGTGATGTCAAATGTGCAGACAATGTTTATAAAATAAAGGAAATTCAAGAATTTTCAAGGGTTTGCAAAAATTCCAGAACTTTCTCAAGGCCTTATTCAAAGTCAAGGGTTTTCAAGGACTCTCATGAACCCTGCATGGTTTATGTACTCAACCTGTTTGGAACACTAGAAGTGCTTCTTGCAACCATGACTGCTTAAGTAGCTGTGGGTGTAGAGCATTGCATTGTTGACTCCCAGGAGACAGGCCAAAACCAGGCAATAAAAAACTAAATGCAGCAATGTCGATGCACTTCTCTCTCTTTTTGTTCATATTGCTCCATACAGACTCGTGGGCTCATAGCGGTTTGTATTTTTAAGCGAGAAAGGCTAAACATTGTACAAATTGTAACTGCAGCTCGAATACAAAACTTATCTAGCTAGAATACAACCACACATGTCGCTTGGAAATGGTGACGATGCTCGTGCCATTCTCTGGTCTGGGTTTGAAGTTGTTGACAGTTCTGGCACATTCGTGCATCACTCAACTCAGCAATACAAGGAACTGCATTGCTGTGTGAAGCAATGCAGAGTTATCATGCTGAAGCAACTTTCACGGAACCAAATTTCTGGTTAAATACCTGTGCTTTTGTTGATGCACCATGATAAAGTGTGACCCATAATTTTGTGAATGAATTGCTTTCTAAATATTTTAGACAAAAAAAAAAAAACAGGCCATTCTATTATGAAAATGAATGATCAGCAAAGCTGTTTAAAACTTGACACAGAATTTTGATGAAAGGTACCGAAATGCTCCCCCCCCCCCTTTTTCATGTTAATTTGACATTTTACGTAGTATTGCCAAGTGCTTTTCAAAGTACTCCAGACATCAAATTGTCAATGTCCTAGTATTAAAGTTCCTAAAGAGTTATTGGATGGAGTACATATTCAAGTAAAAGTGTTCTAAAACAGCAAGCGGCAATCCAAAATTTTCATTGGAGCCTGAAGGAAATATTCTTGCACACCACGAACAACGCTAACGCATGGCTAGACTTCATGCAGCCGCAGATGCTGATAATATGCTCAAATTACTTTGTATGAGTAGAAAAAAAAAAATTT